TATTGTAAAATCAACCATTGAGTTAATAGGTAGGAAACTGTCCTGTACTATCCAAATCATTGCTGTGTAGACATAGCAATAACTATAGCTAAACCTTTCTTGTGTATCACACACTTTTAACAAATTTGTCACTGTAATAATGGCCATACATGTGACAGGAGACTAGCCCTAACTCCAGGCAGGTATGGGGTACACAGCTAGACACAGTACTATCTTACACACAGAGCATCTGTAGCAGCCTTCCATATAAAGCCCTTATATCACAGAATTACAAAGGTGCTATTTTATGGGGAATTAACTTGCAATAAGATCCGATATGGATGATATAGCACGGCAGAGATTGAAAATGTGTGAGAAAAATAAGACCACTGTTCCTGTCTTTCAAATATCACCTTATCACTATTTACAGTGGTGAGACTGGAAGATGAACTACACAGCACCACAATGTACAAGTAATGATAAAAGTATGAGTAAACAACTATATTACTAAAGGCCAAGTCAGTGCTGTAGCAACTAGTGGTAACAGCCTGTCCAGTCAAACTTACCTCGGAATCAAATAATTTCCTTTAAAGCAATACCTATATTTTTATTATCAGAAATAAAACAGTTTATTTTCAATATTTCTAATCAATAGATACCAAATAAAGGTACTATAACACTTTATATATATTCCTATGGTATCTTATACAGTAGTCCAGATAAGCTACATATTAGTGTATTTTACCATTATTTTGGTGGAAGAAGCAGTGATAATAAAATTGATGCATAATCTTTATGCAATCTCATCTAAATTTACCTGTTGATATTGAATTACATGTGTATGTGATCCAGACTTGACCCAACAACATCTCTAACTGTGTTTGATATCTACAATTTTTTCCACTCCAGACTTGTAAGCATTCTTCTAACGATTCTGATTGTGTCTCATTTTGAAGTTGGCAATCACCATAACCAATTATGGCAGTCAACCCATTGGGGTCATTGGAACTTCTACCACTTTCAAAACTAAAGCAATGGTGAGTAGAGTTATTGAATAAATGAGGTTTTTTTTTATTGATTAGATTAGGCAATATCTCACAAGTCAATGAAAATTAAAAATTTTTCAAGCTGAAAATTGAATATACTTACATAGCATAAAAAAATCAAATTTTACCCCTAAGTTTGAAAAAGTTGGGATACTTTTACCCATCAGCTAGAATTATTTTGAGAACTATTAGAGTACTGGGTTCCGAGACTTCATTATGTGTTGTGAGTAAATAAAGGCCATTAACACACCATGTATTATGTCATAAATCTTTTTAATTTTTATAAAACAAGTTAAGAACTTGCACAATACAACAAATTTCTGTAATCCTTCAGAAACAATATTAGGGTTTTAAAAAAAGAGGTTCTTATATCAGTGACATATAACAAATACATGATACATCCCTACTTATTTGTCTGCTCCAACAACACCAACCAGCTAAGCATGCATGACCAGGATCAAAGAGGAATTGGGGAATTTGTCATGAACCATGTATATGTTACATGTACTAACATCACACAAGTTTATAAGGAACACTAGAGCAGCCTGGGAAATATTGAGAATGGAGAAAAAAACTCATCTGAAATTTATATTTTCTGCTTTGCAGTGTGGGTTTTTAGTGTGAGGTATTTATAAACTGTTGTTTCAATTCCATAGAAATATCTTGCTGATGGTATGTACTCTGCACATTATGGAAAATCATTTCTCAACAGACCAAAAGCATTACTGTTAACAACATATAAAAGAATATATATGGAAGAAAATAACAGTGTTATTCAAGAAGTCTGTGATTATACAATAATGTACTTCTCCTGTAATAAGCCCGCCCATATAGCTACTGTACAGCTGTTCAATAAAATAAAATTACAAACAAATGCCATTTTCTTGTCAAGTACACCCCCAACCTCCGAGTCAGAATGTAAAGGCCAATTGGCTGGTTGCAGAATAAATATCAAAATAGCTCTAAAGGGATCTGTAATATATCAATAAAATGTCACTGACTCATTTCTATCCCTACACATCTAAGATATCAACAAGAATTCACTCTAGAGAAAAATCATGCGCTGCATTATTTGCCAAAAATGTTAATTGGATATTGACATAAAACTTAAAAATAAAAACAGGTTCCCATACCAAATGGTCTTATCACCTACATATCTCCATGGTCATTACATGAAAGGTTCGGGTTACTGGCCAAAAAATACTGTGTACTTTTTAGATTCTGATAGACATCTCCTTCAAATCTACAAATCCATCTTCACCAACTCCTCGTTTCCTCCTCAGCAAATTGAGATTAATTTTACACAACTGTACCAGAGGCAAAATAAAGTACCTTCTATTTATAACAGATCAGGCTATATATAAGTGGTCCCGTGAAACTAAATCTTGTAGCACAAGAAACAAGGTAGATGTTCACATTTTTCTGTACTACACTAGTCCCAAAGATAAAACATAAAGTCATTCTAGACCATCATGGACAGCATCAAAACCATCGACACATAGAAAATCAAACATTTTAATTCATCTTATCAGGTTAGAAATGAAATAGCCCTGGCACACTCTATATCAGTTGTGTCTTGCTTCCCAAAAATAACAGATATAATTGAGAATGTTTCTAATTGCCTGTGCAAAACATAAAACAACTCAAATTTATAAGAAGTTGAAGAAAACATGTCATTTACAGAAAGGCGACAAATTTATTCTAGAGCTATTTATCACAATAAGTAGAAATTAGCACACACATCAATATTCAAAATTTAAATTACTATGATGTTCTGCTGATCTTTACAATTTGGTAATCGTATAACTATTGAAAATAAAAAACAAGGATATTCTTCCTATCTCAACTATATCTTATAATCCCAATTTCTTGACGGAGAGAACATTCTATTTTTCTTTAAACTACTTATAGCTAATCAAAGGTTTGTTTACAATTTGGGTTATGATATTAGTTTGCATGCAAGCTACTATAATTAACAGGAACATTCTTAAAGTATAGAAATTCTAGTACGAACATTTAAAAACTAATTAAACAAACCATTTTAAATCATGAACCAGTCTATAAGGTATTTAACCAGTAAATACTAGGGATAAGTAAAACTTTGTAAGTGAATCATAATCCTGTGCCCTTCCTATGGCTTAGTATTGACTTCAAATCCAGTGTATATAGACATTTATTATTACAAGGTTTTGTAAATACATGTATAATACACCAAGTAGGACATATACACAATAACATTAATCTCCTGTCTATAAAAATACAAACTACGGAGTGCTTTCAGAATGGTTTTTGATGAATTTTAATTAAAAATGATGTATTCAACATAGCGACATATTACTCATTGATCATGTGACCACTAAAACCTGTGACAGTCTCTGATGCTGTGACAGATGGGAATGTGACCACTAAAACCTGTGACACTCTCAGATGCTGTGACAGATGGGAATGTGACCACTTAAACCTGTGACACTCTCAGATGCTGTGACAGATGGGAATGTGACCACTTAAACCTGTGACAGTCTCAGATGCTGTGACAGATGGGAATGTGACCACTTAAACCTGTGACAGTCTCAGATGCTGTGACAGATGGAAATGTGACTACTAAAACCTGTGACACTCTCAGATGCTGTGACAGATGGGAATGTGACCACTAAAACCTGTGACATTTTCTGATGCTGTGATAGATGACAATGTGACCACTAAAACCTGTAGCACTCTCAGATGCTGTGACAGATGGGAATGTGACCACTAAAACCTGTGACACTCTCTGATGCTGTGACAGATGGAAATGTGACCACTTAAACCTGTGACACCTGATGCCATGATGGTTACACATGTATTTGGGATTTGACTGCTAAAATTTGAGACACTGTGATGTGGTAATGACAATGACAATTCTATATAGGATGAAACTACTGAAACTGATGACTTTCTGTAATGTTATGAAGAACATGACAGTTGTATTAGAGATGTGACTGTCATGTGATGATCAAGACGATGATGATTGAGAGGAAACCCATAAAAATCAATAGGAAATCTGTCTTATTCAACATAAAATCTGTGATGATTTGGACTTTTTATTATCACAGCAGTCTAGTCCTTATGGGTAAGCATGCGTTTCTATGGGGAAAATATGGACACATATTTCGGTTTGTACTGTAAAATATGTCAATCCACAATTGATGCAATACTTTACTTTTATTTTGCTATGATTATTTCAGAATAGGCAAAAAATGACATATGCTAACTAGTTAGAATCAACGTTTATTTTGACAGTTGTCTAGCACAGCAGAATCAGCTGTGCAGTCATACCCTGGATCCAGATTACCAATGTAGTAAGAAAGTTTCCCTTATTAGAGGTAGTGTTAATACATCCTATAATTACCATACATCATGACTGTACAAACTGGTGGTTTTGTGGAATAAGATCCAAAAAAAAAAAAAATTAAAAGTGTTTGAGCACTTGTCTCGATCGAGCACTGGTCATATATCAGTCTAGGCTTAATAAACTTTATCTTTTTCAAAAACATCATTTAATAACATAGTATTTTAGGGTAGAGGGTCAACTTTTGTATAACCAATAAAGGATTGGTGGTATGAACATGCATGAAGGCAATGTGATAAAATTGGATGAATTTACAAATGTCACATCTAACATCTCAGGTTCCTGTTTCTAAAATGATGGGATTGATCAGAGACATGTATAACACATATACGTCTCTGGACTGATGGTTACAGAACTGTACATGGATTCTACTACGACATCGGAGATTCTAATGTCAAAAATAAATTTTGAAAGTGGGTAATTTCTTGTCCGAACGTTTAGCAGTTGTTCATAAAATTATAGAATGCATACAATAAACAAATAAAAAGGGGACTGGGCTCTACGCCCAAGTCTGGCCTGTCTGCAATACACATACAAGTTCGACAACTCGTAAAGTTAAATGCGTTCGCCGGTCTAACCAGGACACTTACCTGCTGTGCAACAGGTTCCAGGATACTTTCTATGATTTTTGTGTGAAACACTGGCATCTTGTGTGTTTCTAATAAGATCTCATAACACAAATGATCCTACTGATGCTTTCAGTTCATCAAGATCACACAAACTTTCAACCCGAGTCGACTGCAGCACGTACTGTCAAAGATCCGAAGCTGGAGTCTGACTTTCCCGAAGCCGTCGTTTCGTATTCTGTGAAGCTTAGCAAGAAATAAAAGTTCGCATAAAAGTAACTCTTGTTCTTTGTGTTTCATAAAATATCTTGTTTTCCTGAGATTGATGTTAATCTGACGTAGTTTTGTCGATAAAAAGTTTCTTTTTCAAATATTATGGATTTTAGTAATCCGAGACCGACTACTAACACATGCCATATATGGAAGAGAGTGCGACCTTGCCCTCTCGTAACGTGAGGTCAATGCCGAAGATCGCATCGTGGTTGGTGCCCTGCTTTGAGATGAATCACTGATCTCCCGCCCCCGAAGTTGTACTTGCAGAACAGATTTTGTTCATTAGATCATATTGAGAATACAAATTAAAGGATTCTACTTGTGTTGTATTCCTACCTCAGTTTACGCAATGACGTATAATTACGGCTCTGGTTAGCAGTTTCACTCTATTGTACTAAAGACACACAACTGTTATTTTATACAACTTCGTAAGTTTGATACAGCTGAGCCAAACAATGAGATAAATTGCATTATACAGCTTTTTCATACTCACAGGACTCGTCAGTGATGCTATGGGCCTATTTTTTTTTTTTAATCTAAGGCGACTTGCTAAGGAAAATTTAAAGTGAAGGAACGAAAAGGCAAATTTAAATAGGGAGGTAGACCCGTTATTCAATAAATTTCGTAATTTTCGTTTAATTTGAGAACGAAATAAAATACATGTGTGTATTTTGAACCGTGTCACTATTCTATATCTCAGGCAATTATAGGTCTAATATGTTTTCCAGGATGTTAATGTTTGTGTCGTCCCTATAGGGAAGTGGATACTTGAATTATAATTTGCTTTGCTTTGTTATTGTAAGATACTATTAAAAACCAAGTCATCGCTGATCAGGGACAATGACAGATGCATAAATACGTTTTGCAATTATGAAAAAGTATTTCTAAAAACTTCAATTCATGTTGAAAAATACTAACATATAATCTGTACCAATTAATTCCATGTATGAGCCTCCTGACGGAAGTAATATTTGTAGTTTTAAGTGATAGAAGCAATGTACCAGGGGACATAACTCCTGTATAATCTTGGACTTCTTTACGAGATGTAATGTAAACACATTGCCACGAGGTTTACCTCATTGTGAAGAGAGATAGAGAGAGAGAGATGTTTAACGGGTTTATGATATCTGTATGGTAGCTGCTGATCAGGCCATTTTTTTCGAAGGTAAATGATAAAAAAATATACTGTCTTTTGCAAAATTACATAGAGGAAACCAGGCGTTATGGAAGGGTCAGCGTATTATGCTTTGCTTCATCGTCGACACCGAGAAATATTGGTCCATCGAAGTGCATGATGTTCTCAAATGAAACCAGTTATAACAACGAAACCACCATGCATGCTAAGGAGAGCTGTACACATCTAACGTCTAATTATCATGAGGGAATAACCGGTGGCAAACACACACCCTCCTCTACATCAACCTGCAACTCTAAAAAAAAAAAAAACGTGTTGAAATTATCTGTCTGTTGTAGATTTGTCAAAATCTTACACTAGAATCCTGACATGTGGGAACAAGTCATTGTACAGAAATTACCACATTTAGCATACTGCTTGGTGGAAAGCTGACCTAATTGGCTGTGTTGAAATTTGAAGAGTCTGCCATGTCCTTGATTTCCATTCCTGGTGGACATAATCAATACATTTCTTGTTATTTAGGACAAGATCACATCAATATATACAATAGTGAAATTCAAGGATACGGCAAGATCTTTGTGACTTGTTCTTAAAAGACCATCGATAAATTCAGCTCCAGAAAGGCTATAAAAACAGCTGTACTTTAAAGGCAAATAAAAAGATACGGGTGCTAGATATACATGGGCAGGAAACCACTTCAACATAATAATTGTAAATTTTGATCCTAATGCATCCTTATTCTCAATTTGTTGACATATCGAGTCCCGAAATCTGCTAACATATTCGAATTTGATGTTTAACTTTTCATGTGCTTTTCCTAATGGTGTTTGAAACATACAGTACGTAACAGTAAACACAACCACGCAACAGGTGCATTTGTCATACAATAATGTACTTATGTCCAACAACGCACCTAGATAATATAGAACTATATCTAAGTCTGTGGTTCAACATTGTCAGCCATTGTTCTGCTTTAGTTTCTGAACCGAGCAACCGTATGCAGGGACTGTGTAGCAAGTAAACACATTTTCATTCATACCGGTGTTAATAGGACACATTGTCATCTACTTTGTGAATTGTTATTTTTGAGCGCTTTTGAAATCAATTATCCGGGTGTTGTAACATGGTTTCTCTCCTGTAACTTACCGTGTTTAGTGAGAAAACTCTCATTGATGTACACACACACCTTGAGGTTAGGTTGTCATCGACGAAAGCGGTAAGTCGCTAACCCCTACGGAACATTTTATCTTCTTCTTGTATTTTTCTAACTATCTTCGTGTGAATCTTTTTTGTTCTGTATTTGTCCCCAGTTCATAAACTGTGTCGCCACTTTTCCTGTTTTTGTTACCAATATCATGACTTTCGTAATAGACACAAAATCGTCATGGTTGTTGGTGATTTATTTAGAATAAACTTCCATTAGAGGATTTCCACATAGACTATGGGGAAGTTTAAGAATTATTCAGATTGATTATGCAATAGAAGAGTTTAACACACAATTTTTGACCCCTTGCTGTGACTTTGAAAAAGGTCAAAGTCATTCATTCGGGTAAATTTGGTAGCCCTTTATCCCAGCATCCCTCTGATCTTATACCATGCTTGGGGTCAGGAAGTACAATTATACTTGTATCATTAATTTAGTTCCCAGAAAGAGAAAAAAACACCATTGACTGATAGAATAGTGTATATTTATTTATCAACAAAACTAAATTGTTGTCATTTTCAAATACATATTACAAATGTTTGCACTAATAATTTACATCAAAACATGCTTGAATTGATAATCGATTCACATAGGTATTGTCTATCACAAAGTACCAGTGGTACACACTGTGTTATCACAGAGAGGTAACAACAATTAAATGTCTTCATTGTTATAATCTGGAACCTTTACACACCTGGTAACAGAATTCTCCTTCACAAATCTTAGCGAACCCAAGGTAGAACACAAATAAAATGTTTGGGGATCTCTCATTAAAAACTATTTCTCATTAAAAGTTGAAAAAAAACTAAAGAAAACAAAAAGTGATTACTTTCTGATAATAAGTTCTGAAGCAGTTTTTACTGTTTTTTATCTGCTGTAAATTACAAAAAATTTACAAACCATAATGTTTTATCAATTTGCAACATGATGATACTACCCCAATGTGAGAAGCATCGCTGCTGCCCTATTGAACTTTTGACAAGACAGAAAAAACAACACTTTGGCGACCTTCATTCCTTAACATCCCCACCAGCTGTTAGATCAATGATATCAGTAGAAAATCCAGATGGTGGGCATACTGGATTTTGGACTGACCCAAAATATAACCACACTTGGTCGAGACCACCTTGGGATCATTTCAGGCATTACTTTCAGCTAAATTCAACCTGTTGATCTTGAGAAGAAGTTTACGATGTAAAACGTTCCTGTCTACACACATGATTACATGAACCAATGTGGATATACATGTAAGCCATGCTGGAACTTCAGGTCAGATAACCTAAAAATACATATATATATAAAAAAAAAATTCATTTTGATTTGACTGCAACATTAAAACTGATGATTATTTAATGCAAAATATCAAAAGAAAAATCATGATAGCCAAAAAGTATGACAAAGTAAAATCATATCACAGTTTTGTAAAAATATATGGGATAATTCATGAGTATAACTAAAAATGTGTACAGTTATACATATCAAGCAATCATAAAACAGAAATACCTGAACAACCAACATTTTAGTAGCATTTAAACACAATTTTATGTCCACTTGCACAAAATGCCCACTTTTCCCAATAGTAAACCCAATGGGTGTACACTTGATTTCGGATATTATGTTCTCTGAAACTATGTGTGACATCTTCACATATTTTGTAAAATCCAGTATTCATGATCACATGTTCTGTCTGTCAACACATTCATTCAACTTTTAAAATCCAAGCTCGGTTTTGAAAAGATTACCTCAAGCACAAAAACTCAAATGGTTTGAGAAGAGAATATTTTTTAAAATTTCTGTTAATTTGACCCCTTTTAGGCCCTGCATCTCTGGCCTCTTCGGGATGTAGACCATATAATTTACTATGTTATCTCATCTTTGTCCATGGAAGGTTTCTGAAAAATTTCACTGAAATAGCTTAAAGGGTTTTCCAGAGGAAGTCGAAAATAATAAAAAAATAACAGGCATACAACGGACACTGGACAAAAGGGGATCGCAATAATAGGTCACCATAAAACTTTGTCTCGGACAGCTGAAAAGGAATCAAACCAAACAGTTTCAACAAGTATGATTTACAAGCTGACACTTAAGTTTAATTATGACATAACTTCCATTCATATGGATATCATTGGTTGGTTGATTGACAGGTTTTCTGTCTCCTTGACTCCTCCCATATCCGGGAATCAATATGGACTTCATAGTATCTTTTTTATATGATATTCTCAAATCATGCAAAAATGACAAAAAAATCCCACTTAATGTTAATGAAATGTCATTCAGAATTAAATTTCATCCCTGAGTAATGTTATATAAAACTTTGTTGAACAAAACCACTTCATCTATAATTATAACAACGACAAGGGGAATGATACATCTTTTATGATGTTGACAAAAGGCTGTATTGTTAGGAGTTAAACTGAATAGTAAACAGAATTGATCTCACAAAAACATTATTGCAAGTTCACGGTATATATGCAAGATAAAAACTTTTGTCAGGCAGAATTAAAATAGATTATTTTGCAGGAAAAATAAGGGAATGTAAGTTAGTTTTGGGGTACATGAACAAAAAGATAAACAAAATATAACTGTCGAGTAATTCAGTATAACTAGTACTAATTGTATCAGTAACCCTTTCAACAGGAAGAGATGTTTCCCCCTTTCAAACTATGCGTAGATTTTTTTGATGTTCAATATGCTGAGATGTTAACTACTTTATTTACTATTTTGTGGACTTGTTAACAGCAAGGGCATACCCCTAGTATATGAAATGGTGAAGGAATATGTCCAATCACTTTTCAGCTGTATACAGGCATTGGAAATACTTAGTTAAATCTTTCCACAAAAATCAGACAAACACATATAAAGGGTTGATACATTGTATCAGGAAATTATTCCAAGAAAGATATTCCAGGAACAGAGTGAAAACTAGAAATGCGTATTAAAGCATAAATATATACATGTATTGTACTTAAACAAGATGTTGCTGAAATAATGATTGTATGATTTTTCACGATCTTTAAATTTTAGGACTGTAACATGGTGGCTGGGTGTGGACATCATAAAAACAAAAAATTATAGCATTTGAACACAACACTAGAGTATGTTCTTACTTTGTTTGTGATTGTGCTCCAAGGCAGTAATATTGTAAAGTAATAAATATTTCATGATGTTCACTCTCAGCCACTGAAGACAAACCATACACCACATATATCACAGTACTATTATACTAAAGCCCCAATATATACTTCAATTGGCAAATTTACGAGAAGCAGAAAATTTCTAGAAAAATTTCCAGTTGACAATTATGCAAATAAAAGAATGAAACATACTTAGGCTGAGAAGTATATATTAAGAAATGCTTTGTGGGAATATCAAAACAAATAAAAAGTAATAAAAGTGGGTCCCACTTAAAAGACAGACCAATGTTATTCAAAGTTCAGAAGTCCATCACTAAAATGTACAGGTGTAGTAGGCGCATTCACAGGTAAAGTGCAATGTCACATTCTCTTGGTGATGTCATTCTCAGATAGAATGTAGGTGTATAGTCATTCAAAGCCTTCCTGTGTAGTCTGATTGGGGTTATACACATTTATATATATATACCGACCCTACAGAAATGTCTTAAATATCTTCTGACTTCGCCTCCGCAAACATTGTAAATGCAGACATGTTTACAGAAAATTAATATCAACAGCCTTTATATCAATACGATATCATCTGGTTATTTCTCGGATAAGTTAATTTTGATTATGTCTTTTCTTTACTTTTTTAGTGAATGTTGTGTATATTGGGGCTTTGAAGAAAGACCATTATTTAATACAATTTTAAATACAAGCTGAGGATTGTCAGTAATGCACATAATATGACTTGACATTTCCAAAAGAATTTTCAAGCTAATTCCAACTAACTTTACATGACATTTATGCTAATTGTCCTTAAGAAAAATATCTTCATTATAAAGTTGTACTGTTTCTGTTGAGGAATCCAACGCAGGCAGCATAGCATCTTTTATACACACCTTGGAAAACCGTCTTGCTACTCTGGAAACAATCAAAAAATATAAAATAAGATCTGGAAAGACTTTACTTACAAAATTACAAAATGGTTTAATGACAGAGAATGACATCTTCATCAACCTTTCTGATAGGGACTACACTTAAATTGTTGTATTATATATCATTTCATTTTAGCTTAATTACAAGTTCCTCTTTTACCAAACTCAAAGAATTAAATATTTAAGGCACTTAACTAGTGTAAATCAATTAAAGGTTAATATTTGTAAAGAACACTGTCTAAAAAATGATTTGGAAGTATATTAATATCTACAAATAATTTTATCTGAAAGCACTATGTTCTAAAGAATGTTTTTTTGAAAAATTCAAAATACCAATCTCTGATAGAAATGATAAGAGATGATGGTTTAAACACACAAAGTGAGATGCTGATATTAAGTCTTCAAAAGTATAAAACTTACACAAAATGGGTCATGGATCACTGGGTCCTCAGCAGACAGATCAAAACTTCCAAGTAAACCAATGTGGGCTTTGGAGTCTGGAGGCTTCATGTACAGCAAGTCACTGAAATGAAAGAGAAGACTGACATCAAAGAGAAGTAATCAAACAGGTTTCAAACACTTTGATTAAAAATGATTTTATTTGTACTATATTTGTAAACAAATTAGACAGAAAATGTAAGTTGTAAACCACTATGGTATATAAGGCTTGAAAATTTGCATTTGAGATAAGTTTCCATGTATTTTCTTAGATTATCATGATCATGGAAATAAAGATATTGAAGTGAAATAAGTTTGTAACTTTAAAGTTTTTATAACACAACCAGTAGAAGATTTGAAGTCAAATAGATTTGTAACTTAAAAGTTTTTTAAAAACACAACCAGTAGAAGATTTGAAGTAAAGATATTGAAGTAAAATAGGTTTGTAACTTTAAAGTTTTTATAACACAACCAGTAGAAGATTTAAAGTCAAATAGATTTGTAACTTAAAAGTTTTTTAAAAACACAACCAGTAGAAGATTTGAAGTAAAGATATTGAAGTAAAATAGGTTTGTAACTTAAAAGTTTTTTATAACACAACCTGTAGAAGATTTGAAGTAAAATAAGTTTGTAACTTGAAAATTCTTTTAACACAACCAGCAGAAGATTTGAAGTAAAATAACTATTGCATTGAATTCATTCAGACCTGCAAACTCATAATAATAGAATTTTGTAACATATCATATTGAATAGCTGGTGACAACTATGCAGTGGATCCATGTGTGTTGTGCCTCATCCTCTCTACTTTCAACTTGGAAAAAAGTTACTGATATACTTGTATACAGCAATGGAAAAAATTACATAAAATAATAAAAATGTTTAAAGTACCTGGATAAATATTTTGCAATATAGATATTCAACACCTTATCTATTTGAAAAAGAACTTCTAAAATACATCATAGAGGTCAAACTCTAAAATACAACATAGAGGTCAAACTCTAAAATACAACATAGAGGTCAAACTTTAAAATACATCATAGAGGTCAAACTCTAAAATACAACATAGAGGTCAAACTCTAAAATACAACATAGAGGTCAAACTCTAAAATACAACATAGAGGTCAAACTCTAAAATACATCATAGAGGTCAAACTCTAAAATACAACATAGAGGTCAAACTCTAAAATACATCATAGAGGTCAAACTCTAAAATACATCATAGGGATCAAACTCTAAAATACATCATAGAGGTCAAACGATATCTGAAAAAAAAGTATGACTTACCCCACATTATAGTCATCCATACCCAGTATATAGTCATAACTAAAGAAATCATTCCTGGTGATCTGTAACAGGAAAACTGTGAAAGAAAAAGACAAACAACAAACACACACAAATTTTTTAAAACCTTCATTCTTAATTCTGAGAGAAAAATATTCTCTATGAAATCCATATTATAAACCAAATACAATGTAAACATAGAGGTTTTGGTATTACTTGGTGTAAGTTTTTATCTAAAATTATTAATATAAACATTTAAATGTTAAGAATTTTTTTACTGGACTGAAGCCATGCTAGGAAGTCATATACATGTATTTTGGTATAGTAAAGGGACAACACACATACAAATGTAAATGCTATTTAACTACTCCTGCAACTGAAAAATGATGTATGCAAATTGGAGACTATGAATTACTATACAATTTTTTTTCAAAATCGAACCATACCCAAGTTTTCCCAATGAGTGGCCTTGACAGCCACTTAGAATACAAAATGTTGACCAAAGAGGTTGAATGCTTATTACTAATGCAAAAGAATTCTTTCACTTTAAGTGAAGGTTTAAGGGCACCCGGCTTGTAGTTTCAAGAAAATTACAAAAAAAAAAAAAAAAAATGTATCAGACAATTCCATGGAGGAAGAAACAGGGCAAGAATCCAGAGTCCAAGAATTAGGATAAAACTGTACATACACCGAAAAAATATGTGTGTGATTTTGTGTAGTGATTGTACACAAGTACATAGATTTTACCATCAAAATATATGCTGCATGAAATACTGACAGATTTTAATACTAGAAACCCATATGTTACAATGATGTGTAGTTACATCCACACAGCATTGCTACCATATAACCTGAAAGATGCGTGGTTTATGGTACAATAAATGCCATGAAGAAGTGCACTTGACAGATTACAATTTCGATAATGACTTAGGTATTTATTCTAAATCAAGTTATAAGCAGTTTGAGACTGTGAAATGGGAAGGAAATAATAATATAATCATCTAACCATCTTGTTATGGTGTTTACAGTTGTTATAAATGTCAGAGTTAGGCCATAAAAAAGAAAATGTTTAATTACACACACAAACACATGAATACTCATCAGAACACTGGAGGCATTAAAAATGTTTGCCTTAAGCACTATTTTAGGTTTCCATATATGGTTAGTACCATGTGACCAGGCTGATTTATACCTATATCATAATCTAAAATGTTTTAAAGCTAAAAATTAGATATCATAATGTAGGTAGTAAGTCAGTCTGACATCACATCTTAAGTATTTCAGACAGAAAGTTTTAATAGATAAGTGTAATAAAACAAGTAAAGTGATAATTTTCCCATATCATCAGAATTAACAAACACATGACTAGCGTTACCTGGTCAGCATGACTAGAGTTGTCTGGTCAGCATGACTAGAGATGCATGGTCAGCATGACTAGAGTTGCCTGGTCAGCATGACTAGCGTTGCTTGGTCAGCATGACTAGAGTTGTCTGGTCAGCATGACTAGAGTTACCTGGTCAGCATGACTAGAATTACCTGGACAGCATGACTAGAGTTACCTGGTCAGCATGACTAGAGTTATCTGGTCAGCATGACTAGAATTACCTGGACAGCATGACTAGAATTACCTGGTCAGCATGACTAGAGTTACCTGGTCAGCAGCCAAGTCTCCGTCATTCAACACAATCAGAATTTAGTTTATCACAAATCCAGTGAATTCACCCATGTAATATTTTTGTCACTATTTTGATATACTTTGAAGTGTTTTTCATTGGCTCAGCTAGTCAGAAACAATTGTGGTATCATGATATGGACTATGATGTTACATAGAGAAAAAATGAAATTGACAAAACAAAATGGCTGCTTCCATATGATTTTGTCAAATTTTTTACTTGTAAACCTGTTATAATGTATCTTTTCTGAGCTATGTGATAAATAGAGATATTTAATGGTGCCTGTTTAATATTGTACATATTTCATGAACACGACAGAATATTTATATTTTTCACAAGTGAAAAATGAGTGAAAAATATAGATACATAATATTTAAGAAAAAAGCGACAGGAAACCACTAAATTTTCTTTTTCTTACATTTTAAAAGAAAAATATTAAAAAATTGATTCAAACATAGAATTAAGCAATTGTACAAAACAGTGTGGGAAATAGTAGATTGTTCTTTGATATCAGATAGGTTAACATTACGCCTGGCAACAAATAAACACCATTTTGGATAGGTTGTTTCACATGGTATTCCATCATTTAGCTTTTATCTGGTAAGAATTGATTACCAAACTGTTTTTACATAACAAATCAGAGAGAGCCCAGAAATGGACACAGAAATTATTTGATGAAAAACAAAGTTATTTAATATTTGTTTCCTTTGTGTCTGAACATGAAAATCAGCAATGCTGTCGTTGTTTTTCTTTACTTTGAAAGTCATATCATCAGTAGAAAAGCTTTATCATCACTAGAAATAATAAAACTTCATAGATTCATTCTATAAAATCTCAAATCTCAATTAAGACTCTATCCATTATACATGAAGAAATTGCAATTAGTAAAAATCTTATTTTAGCATGATACTTACTGTGTGAAAAACAGTAAATAAAGACTAAAATATGTAATTTGCAGCACTAATGTCAAACAATAAAATATACCTGCTGATATCAAAAAGAATGGTTTTATACATTCACTAAGGATAAAAACAAATACATCTGAAGAACAAGAGATCCCAGAGGGATCTTGGGGCCCATCATTGGTTGATCTTTATTTGCTCTTTGAAAGTTGGATCTTTTACTTTCTTTTCTGTTTTCTTCTATGTTTTTGCTCTTAATGATAAGAAATTTGAACATTCGTTTGCAGAAATAGCAATGAAAATCTTTAATTACCAAATCCAAGTTTCGTCGCCTGGAAGCCATTTAAATTTTTTTGATTACTTCCAAAATCAAGTGGGCACAAGTAGAGACCAAAGGGAACATACGTATGAAATTTGACAGAGATCCAATCAGTAGTTCTTAAGTAATGAGGATAACAATCTTTACTAAGCAAAATCTAAGATGGCTGCCCATCAGCCATTTAATTTTTTCTGATCAGTTCCATAATCAGACAACTAGGTACCAAAGGGAACCTACATATGAAATTTGAGAAAGATCCATCTAATCCATCTCAAGAAATAGCGATAACAAAAACTGTTTATGGACGGACAGACAACAGACCAGGGACAAAGGGTGATATGAAATGGTGGGCTAAAAATTTATCTGCAACTGCTGAGAAAAATGACGTTGAAAACTTACATGTCGTGCTATGTGATTAAAATGGTCAATGTTGTTTTCCTTCAGTACTGCTAAGGTTCTTTTGTCTATCGGATTGCCCACCTGCCAGTTCATTATTGCAGCACTGTCTACATGATACTGTTAAATATAAAAATGAAATATATATCCATTAGCCAGATCATTCTCTTGTCAATGGATTTTGATAGACATAAAAACCTGGAGCTGTCCTGCATTGGCCAAGGAAGTAGTAAATGTGATCAAAGTGAGGTCTAAGAGTACCTTAGATTTCCACTGCCGACTAAATGAGAGTATGGTATAGGCAAGAGTGACTGACCCTGAGACAGTTCAGTCAGAATACAATATGTATCCTGCAAAATATATCATTCAGGCAGATGAACTAAAAACTGTCTCCTGTAAAATCTGCTAATTGAAAATGAATGAATGTTGACATATCAAGCTTTGTTTGCCATCAGAAAGAAATATTTAGAAATTCCTTTAATTCAATTTCTATTGGTACAAAATATACATCTAACTGAAAGTCTTCTTCAAAGTACTTGCTAATTCATCTTATTTCCCATTCCCATGTGACCCTGGCTAAGGACATTTAACACTGTAAAATAAGTTCAACTTTCTGACCTTGTCTGTATGACCCCTTACTTACCTTGTCTGCCTGACCCCCGATGTCTGTCTGAACCCTTATTTACCTTGTCTGTCTGAATCCTTCCTTACCTTGTCTGTCTGAACCCTTTCTGACCTTGTCTGTCTGAACCTCTATTTACCTAGTCTGTCTGAAGTCCTCATTTACCTTGGTTGACTGAACCCTACCTAACCTTGTCGTTCTGAACCCTTTCTTACCTTGTCTGTCTGAAACCTTGTTAACCTTGTCCCTCTGAGCCTTTACTTACCTTGTCTGTAGGAACCCTTATTTACCTTGTCTGTCTGAACCTTTACTTATCTTGTCTGTCTGAACCCTTCCTTACCTTGTCTGTCTGAATCCTTCTGTCACATATCTATACAGAACTTTGTCAGTTGTTCATATTTCGCGCGCTCATCTCTACGAAACTTTTACCTGAGAGGATGTGACGTGTACGCATGCTTTTATGCATGACAGAGACAGCTACCGTGTCAACATTGCCATTGTTTGAACCATGATATAATATTCACCGTTCACGCAAACCACAGCTTGCGGTGAGTACCCAAAACCCATGAATTATGATTTTTATGTTTTATGCATTCTGTAATTGTTGTAAATGTGGTTTATTCAGTGCTGTGTAGATAAACAGCAATATATTTACCTGTGCCGGTATGTTTGTTATGAGCACGGTTTGTGTACACACGCACAGGTGCGCGATAGTGTTACTATACCATGTGTTTAATTAGGGTGTGTATGATGTGATTTTTACCGGTTAAATGTATAGAATACATGCATAAATATCGTTTAATTACCAATTACTCGTGATTTGATACATGCACGTGAAATACAGTTGTTTACTTATGTATCGTAATAACCATTGTGCGACGGTCTATTAAGGCGTCGTGCACCGTACCTTTACCTGTAAATATGTTCATAATTGAAATGACAATTATCTATTTCTTGTATCATTGATCATTAAGTGGAGTCAAATGTGGTAAATATATGTTATAGCATAGTATTAATGCGATTATTATCAGAATTAATAAGGTTGTGTTAATTCAATTATTAGTTAAACTAGTACAGTATGACAGGTGTTATATAGGGAATATCTATTATTGTAGTTACACCCTGTCTTGCTGATGGGCTACTATACTTTGCCTTGTTGACGGCTCATGTGGAATGGTCCAGTGAGACACCATTCATGGCTTGATGGTTGTCCCGCACATTCTGGCAGGGGGTCACTTGGTGATGGATGATGGTGGACAAAGGTATTGCCTGTTGTGCCCGACCGAGGTTCCAGAGGATGGCGGATGGTTACCCCCTTGTAGTTTTGGAGCTGTATGGACTTTCCTTGGATCATTGATGTGACCATGTGACATTGTTGTCACTACAAGTAGATATCAGCCTACTTGGTGACATTTGACACTTCCGTCGTAGATAGCTGCCTACTCTATAAGTGTATCTAGTATTTGATTAGTGTACCTGTATAGTGGAGGAACACAGCCCTCCGTTGTCTAGGTTGGATCCTGTGTTAATTGTAAAGAGAGTAAGAGAGTGAGCTTGTCGACATTTTGTTAACCATGGCTTTGTATGTCCTTTGTGTTTTGCATATAAATTTGTGTTTAGTGTAAAACAGCTTGTGTCTCTTATTCTTCTGAGAATCAGCAATTGCTCTTCACATTACACCTCCTTACCTTGTCTGTCTGAACCCTTCCTTACCTTGTCTGTCTGAATCCTTCCTTACCTTGTCTGTCTGAATCCTTCCTTACCTTGTCTGTCTGAACCCTTCCTTACCTTGTCTGTATGAATGCTTACTAACCTTGTCTGTCTGAACCCTTCCTTACCTTGTCTGTCTGAACCCTTACTTACCTTGTCTGTCTGAATGCTGTCTAGCCTTGTCTGTCTGAACCCTTCCTTACCTGGTCTGTCTGAACCCTTCCTTACCTTGTCTGTCTGAATGCTTACTAACCTTGTCTGTCTGAACCCTTCCTTACCTTGTCTGTCTGAACCCTTCCTTACCTTGTCTGTCTGAATGCTTACTAGCCTTGTCTGTCTGAACCCTTCCTTACCTGGTCTGTCTGAACCCTTCCTTACCTTGTCTGTCTGAATCCTTCCTTACCTTGTCTGTCTGAACCCTTCCTTACCTGGTCTGTCTGAACCCTTACTTACCTTCTCTGTCTGAATCCTTCCTTACCTTGTCTGTCTGAACCCTTCCTTACCTTGTCTGTCTGAATGCTTACTAACCTTGTCTGTCTGAACCCTTCCTTACCTTGTCTGTCTGAATGCTTACTAACCTTGTCTGTCTGAACCCTTCCTTACCTTGTCTGTCTGAATGCTTACTAACCTTGTCTGTCTGAACCCTTCCTTACCTTGTCTGAGCCCTTATTTACCTTGTCTGTCTAAACCCTTACTTACCTTGTCTGTCAGAACTCTGCCTCACCTTGTCTGTCTGAGCCCTTATTTACCTTGTCTGTCTGAACCCTTACTTACCTTGTCTGTAAGAACCCTTACTTACCTTGTCTGTTAGACCCCTTTCTTTCAAAAGGTGTCGTAGAATTCCCTCAGCCATTGTTGACCTGCATGTGTTACCTACAAACAGAATAAGAAGTACACAAAAACTATATTTATTATGATTTATTAGGATTGCTAATGGATGCAGGCTCGCAGCCTCCATTTCCATGGCAGATACATCTAGAAATTAAACTGTACATTTCTTCAGGTGCTAAATTTCAGGTAAACAATTGTTCGATGGTACTATTATAACCTTCATCTGACAAAAATTTCAAACTGCTTCACAGCAGAAATATTAATCACGTGCTGTGGTAAGCTATTCCAAATATCCACTACTTGGAAACTAAAGTTTTTTCTTCTAACTAGACGGCAAAATTTTTTTTATAAATTTCATTGAATATCCACGTGACCTACCAGTACTATCGATATCAAAAACGTTCCTGGTGACCCTTTCATCGAATATATCTTCTCTTTTATCTTTAAGGTATTATAAGATCCCTTGTTGTGCAACAATTTTTTAAGGTTGGTAAGCTGAGTCATTGGTAACGCTGCTTACCGGTATATGTCAGGTTTTTAAAACCAGGTACAAGGTTTTTAACTCTTCTTCGTACATTTTTAATAATATCAATGCCTTTGGCCTTGCATGGGTTCCACACATCAGAAGCATATTCTAGGTGCAGTCTAACTAGTGCTTTAAATAAGAGTTTAAACATTGATTCATCTACATAAACAAAAGTTCTGTGTGTGAATCCTGCTATGCTGTTTGCCTTATCCACAATTTGATTGATATGGATACTGAAATTTAGATCCTTGTCGATTGTGATACTGAGATCTTTCTCTGATTCCCTGTGGTAATTTGCTCCCCTCCAGTCCCTGACATGAAGTAGTTCCTTTTCCCATTAGGCCTAATTGACAGAATCTTACATTTCTCTGTGTGGAACTGAAGTAGCCACTTTGCAAACCAATTTTGTAGTTCATCTATGTCATTCTATAAAATCTATACATCTTCCTTACTTTTATTTGTCCTTATAATTTTGTATCATCTGCCAATAAAACAGATGGAGATACAGGTACTTCAGGTGAGTCTCTGATATAAGCGACAAATCAAATCAGGCCAAGAATGTTTCCTTGTGGAATGCCACTTTTTATATGATATGTTTTCAATGATTTTCCATAGACTAATACTCTGGTATCTGTTACTGAGGAAGTCTTGTATCCAATTCACTACCTTTTTACAGATTCTTTAAGCTGTAAGTTTCTTTAAGAGACGCCAGTGAGGGAATTTGTCAAACGCCTTCATGAAATACAGACAAACTATATCTAGTTGTCCTCAATCATCAATAACCTCAGTCCATTCTTCCAAAACATTAAGTAATTGTATTTGTGTTGATCTTCTATGAATAAATCCCAACTGCTTTTTACTTAGTAAATCATTTCTATCTATATGATTAACAATTTTCAACAATGTCATGTGCAACATGTGGGGAAATCGTCGGTGGGAAACAGCATGCTATTGCCCATGATACCTATCACTGATGGAACCAGAGGTTGTTTGTGAGAGAATAGTACAATTTTATCCATTAGTATATGAAAGACTTGTGTACATTTATTACAAGTAAAACAATATGGGGTATACATGTAAGTATAAATGAAATGTCATTCCTCAAGAAATACATGGTAAATGTGGAATGAGCAAAGGACTATAAAAAAGAGGCCCATGGGCCTTAACAGTCGTCTGATTACAAAATCTTTCACCTGGGAGAATGGTTATTTTTTCTACTTTGAATGAAATCTTACAAAGAAGCTGTTTTCCGTGATGCAGATGGTAGTTTCGGTGAGGAGTAGGTAACTGTAACAAGGGTTACCTATTTTGACAGTGAAGTATATATATATATATATATATATATATTTATCTTACATACTATTTATACCTGTAAACATAATTAGTTACATCTAGACTTATAATAATAAAAAAAAACTATAGGGTGTGAACAGTCTTGGCATTGGGAGCGAACGGTGCTGGGGGCGAAACGACTTGGTGCGAAACGTCATGATACCCTCACTTCATTTTCGCTTTCATTTCTTACCCATACAGACGAATAGGACACCACATTTACCGCCCTCGCTGTCCATACTCAGTAAGACTATTTCTATGGAGATATGAGGATCTTTTACACATGTAATCGTCTCAGCGACTATCAGGTACTGATTGCAACATCATCGGTAATCTGCTTTACCTATCATTCCAGTTCCAGCTATAACATCACACGAACGTTTGAAAATGTTACACACCCAGTAAAGGTTGTGCTTAAAGTAAACACCTCAATGGTAGATCTAGAATTTTAAAAAGATGAATATGGATTTATACGTGCCCAATATTCTTGTTTGGAAAGACAATACAAGTGTTAAATTTAGTTTGTTTCTTCGAATTCTTTTTTTCGTGTACTTTTAAATGTTTTATTTAGATATATGTGTAAACAATTACAGTGCGTGCTTTGTTTGTAATCAGACCTTGACCTCTCACTCAAGTTGTAAACAGAAAATGGTGAAATTGGAGAAGCCGAATCTTTGGATTAATGACTTTGATGATGATCTCTTTCAACCACGAAGATGACGGAACACAAACTCTTCTTTCCTGTAAAGGAGGTTACATATAAAGGTATAGTGATCCCGCCCTAGATACCTATATATCACCTTGATCGTCTGGCAGCTTTGGATTATTTTTAAATGGAGATTTAATAATTACCTTATCCTGGTGGTCATTGTTTGTCACCTGTCAACTCGTTGACGCTTTTTAGATAGACCGTCCTGGGGTATGAAAAAATATTCTTTTCTTCAAAATTATAGTAGACTTTACGCCCACTTCTTGACAGAATTGAGAGACCCCGGATCACAAAATGGACAATTTGATAGAGCACCTAAAGAACTTTCCATTTAAGAAGATTATTTGATTTTACACTACCTGGGTCTTGAGAAGATTTTTGAAATTTCAATCATTTTGATCCTGTCCCTATATCTATGGAATAATATGATTACCAACTTTTGTGCATCTCTGACCAAGGGAAATTCCTTTAAAATGTCAAGGTTTTCTGTGAAGTGAAAAATGTAAATCGTGTACGGATGCACGACACATGATGATGTACAAATGACAATAAGAATAGGTCACTTGAGACTTTGCAGGTGACCTCAGACTGGATTATCATGCATCCGTTTTCACTGTACCATCGTCCATAATGAAGGAAAAGAAAATATTTGTTTGCTAAACACTGAGACATTATTTCAACATTAATTCTCATAAAGATTGTATTGTGGCAAAACATGTACACATCCATTTTGTTATTCAAAGTAATTGACAAACTCCAGCCAATTATTTCAGCATGCTACAGATCCATTACCTTAGGGTTATTGTGAAGAAGTCATTTGAACTTTTTACTTATTTGATCCCTGCATAGCACTGTGACCTTGGTAGTAGGTAAAGGTCATTAATTGGAACAAAATGATAGCCCATCATTCTTTCATTATTTTGGTATTTGGGTATTTTGGTAATTGAGAGGAATTTTATTTTTTACTATTTCAACATATTTTACCCATGCCATGTAACCTTGAAAATAGGTCATGGTCATTCATTTGAAGTACCTTGGTGGTATATCAACCCAGCATACTACAAGTCCAACATCAGTACCTTTGGCTTTTATGTTATTGAAAAGACATTATTTGAAGATTTTAACATATTTGACCTTTATCATATTGAAAGTAGATCCATGTCATTCAATCTTTCCCCAACATATTGAACTGTTGCATCTTAGGCAGGTAAGACAAATGGAACCTTCACCTTGAGATATTGTTGGGAAACTCTTATATATGAATGACTTTGGGTTTTTACTTTGATTGATAAACTTTACCTGTATATTTCAGAACTATTTGACTGGGCTGATCCTGGTCAGAGATACAAAACATCTTCAGTGTCAGTACCTCCGAAGAACAGCCTCCTTCATCAGAACAGTCGCACAGGCAGCTTGGTTGACTGCAATAAGATGAAAATAGCCTTGTTCAGACATGGAGAGCAGGTGTTTGCTGTTAATGAAAAATGTCCTCATGCAGGTACTGATAAAAGCAGCTTTATATGTATAAAGTTGTATAGTGTCTAGCAAGTGATCATTACATAAATTATTATCACTGTGAAGAAGTAGGTTTTTATCAAATGATAATATTGAGTACTTCACTGGAAAAATCATATTTACTGTCCTCAAAAAACTCATCTCCCTTAGTGTAAATGTTTAATAATAAAGTTTTAGGAGAGCTTTTTGTGAACCACAATTAGCTTACTATTTCGAAGTGGATGATCTTGTGAAAATGGAGAAGGTGGTTTGTTTGTGGGTTAGGCTGGGGTTTACTCAAAGATAAATGCCGTTGAACTTTTTTTCTTGGAAATCTTTTGTGCATTCATATTGTTAAAGCTGATTCCACCATAAAAAAGGAAATCAGTTTAGAATTCTACAGTAGGGTACATAATATACAATAAAGGTGTTGACATTCAAAGGAAAATGTCTCTCTGAAATGCTGATCCTGAGTTACTTTCTAGCTCACTCTAGGTTCAGCTTGAGTAGATCTACATAATGGTACTTATATAACATTCAGTTCCATTTCAAACTTTTGAAATGTTTTGTTTTTCGTTGCCCTTTGGTAGAACATAGAAGGAAATTAATTGTTGTCTGAGGTAAGAATACTAATATGATGAGATGACTAAGTTCCCACAGCTGGCTTCATGAGATACATGTTCTGTTTCTGTTCTATAGGAGGTCCCCTACATTTGGGTGATATTGAGGAGATGCCAGAAGGAGGTTTGTGTGTGCGCTGTCCGTGGCACAGTTGGAGGTTTGACCTCACCACAGGGAAGGTAACAATGCCTCGAGGGCGAGACTTGTCTACAGCTGTATACCCAGTAAGGGTTGATCAAGATGGGAGAATTTCGATAGGATTTGACAAATTTGCAGACAGTTATTTTACTGCTGAAGATGACTTTTGATTCTGCAATTTTTAACTTACTTAGTAGTATTTAAACTTTTTTTTTCATTAATATTACTGTTTGAATGGCAATTTCTTTGTTTTAAAACTGAATTACTTTATATTTTCATGATTAAATTGTTATATTTTGATATAGATAGCAACACCTTTACAGTTCTTGTTCATTATTTGTTATGTCATAGCATGTGTTCATTTTTGAAGATGCTTAACTTCTTTTAATTTGTAAACTTTTTAAAGTTTAATTGAAATTTTTAAACAATATGTTGATTTGAGGATGTATCATTCAATATCAAGATTGTTTTAATTTCTTAACATTAAAATTGTTTAAATTTCTTAACATTAAAATTGTTTTAATTTCTTAACATTAAAATTGTTTTAATTTCTTAACATTAAAATTGTTTTTATATTATTCAAGATTAAAAAAATGTTTAAATATTACTCAATGTTATAAAATTGTTTTAATTTCTCAATGTTAAGATTGTTTGTTATAGACTGTTTATCTGTTTGTCAACATTTTTTATGTTAATTACCTTCTATTTTGGGAACTTGCAGTATCAATTGAGGTTAATTGATTACAAGTGGTACTGAGTATTGTATAGGGGGAGGTATGGATGTTATTTGTGTTGATTTTGTTTTTGTTCTTTTTTGTTATGTCTAGCATATAGGACAGATTAATTCAAATAAATGTTATTTAATTATGGAATAGAAATTTCTAATGATTTCATGTTCTTACATCTGATCCAGGTGTCTATAATGCATACAACTTTTATATAATGTTTAGATATAACAAACATATACATGGTGTTGTTTTTGTCATTGTATAATAGAAGAATTTATAAAATCATATCATTTAACAAGAGGTTAAATATTCATTGTTTCCCAGCATGCAGTTTTAATCCAGTGTTATGCTTGAATTATTCTTAATGATTCACACAGAACATTAGAAGTATCTCTCAGGGATATGAAAATAGATTCTCATAATGCCTAGAAAAATTGAAATGATGAGTTTCACATACAGATTTATTTTACTATGTAAATGTCAAAGGTAAGAGCTGGATACTGTGTTAGGATACAAGATGGCCGTTATGTATACAAAGACAGGATAGCTGTTGGCAGAAAAAAAAAAGAATAAAAAAAGAAATCGTTGTTGTTATAATCATTCAACCTAAAAAAAGTCATTAAGGTATCATGGAAAGTACATTTGTAGAACTGTTTAGACTGAAAGAATTTATATATTTTTTCATATCTTGTTAGTTTGTATTAATTCTGAAAATTTGAAGCAGTTAGGCGATAAAGAGCATTTAATCCCTAAAATGTTTGATGTGATAAAAATGAAAATTGCAGTGTAATGATGTTCCTCTAAATTTCTGTTCTTAACCAGATCCATTTACACAAAACTATCAACTACTGTTTCTTAGTCATTTGCTGTACATATATGAAAGTTATGGCATCAATAAATTTGTATTTCAATGAAAAATATTTTGGTATTTTCTAGTCAGTAATCTCCCATATGTAAATGTGTTATGCGATGGTTTTTAGTAATCTGATCAGAGTCAAGTACTATAAATATTAAATGATGTTATGATTTCATATGTTCAATAAGAAATATACATTTGTTAGTTTTTGTTGTAACAATGATTTTTAAACTTTATTTTACATGTGTTATGCAACTGTTACACTGTTTCTATGTTCTGAAGTTAATAGCAACTGGTTTAGAATTGTAATGAGATATTCGCTGTATTATATATAATAATTTTTTAATGTATTGAGCTAATGAAAAGTTTCTTTTTAGTCAGATTTGTTATTTAAACTTTGTATTGAAAGTACATATATGGTATGTTGCCTCAATTATGTTCAAGACGGACAAAAATTTCTTTTCTATGTTAAAACAGAGATATACAAACAAGCATGTCTTCATGTAACATGGAGTGTTTGCTTAGTTTTGTAGTAACCTTGTGATACACAAAACACTAAAACCTTCTCCTTTCCCGGTGTTGCTTTCATGTGTTCTCCCTCGGTTGGTGTTTTCTTAAGTCTTGTTATTGTTAGTAAAACCCATCAAAGTGTGCAAACATAAATACAACTGACCCATAATTACAGTCTCACTTAAACCACTTTTTCTGATTAGCTAAAAATCCTAGAATTCTGATATATTATGGATAGGTTCCTTGGATATAGCCCAACATGTATGTGAGAAGAAAATGAACATGAACTTTTACTCTGTCACATGGGTCAAATTTATTTAAGTACTCCATCATGTTCTTCTGATTGATAAAAAGGAAAAAAGCCTTGACCCATATTCAAGGTCAAAACAATCAAATTTGTCTTCTTGTAAAGACCTATAAGTCAAAAATAAGTATTAATTTTAAGCCATGCATGTTAAAAGGTGGCTAGTTTTTAAGGTTGATTAAGTAAATTGAATTTAGACCTATTCTATGTACAGGTATTAATGAAAAGAATGGAAAAACCAGGTGAGTGAGGCAGACCCATTGGACCCTCTGGTTTTGTGTTATTGTCACCTCAATTCCCGGTGTTCATTTTGCTTTGTTCACATTCAAATGTTGCTTTTCCTTTCTTTTTGTCTTTTACTCATTTCCTTAAGTGTTGTTTTCTGTTAGTTACTAGTTTGAATTTAAGCTTTTCTTCAGTTTCTCTGGTGATGCTTCATATTCAGGAGCTACAAGTCTTTTCCTCAATTTCTTTAGTGTTGCCCATGTTACCTCAGTTCCTTTAATGGTGTCTTGTTATAGTTTAATGTTTAAATTTCATCTTTTCCTAAGTTCATTTGATGATGATTTGTAATAGCTATGAGTTTGAAATTTTGTCTTTCCTCAGTTCCTTTAGTATTGTATTGAATCATATTTCCTCAGTCCTTAATGTCCTGTATTAATTTTTGTCCCACTTTAATGTGTGGCTTCAGTTTGGTTCAAGTTATGTGATCACTTCAGTATTCTATTGAACATGTTTCTTTCCACATTTTTTTGTTGCTAAATAATAAGCTATTGTTCTCCATTTTTTACAGCATGGAGAAAAAAATTAATTACTAAAAATTCAAGTCTGTCAGTCCACACAAAATGTATAAGTCTATGTCTGTGGAGTACTTTTGTCATATTCATGATACTTAGTGTTATATATTATACTTAATTGTGAATGGAAGATTAAAGCATATTATAGTTTTAACTGGACAATGACATATTTTTATGATTGAAACTCATTACACTGCAACAATTTATTAAAAATAAAGTTATGTACCATTGAACCATTAGATTAGTGGTGACAGAAAACTGGCAACACCAGATTAGTGGTGACGATATAGTGATACTACCAGATAAGTGGTGACTAAATCGTGGCAACACCAGATTAGTGGTGACTAAATAGTGGAAACACCAGATTAGTGGTGAGTAAATAGTGGCAACACTAGATTAGTGGTGACTAAATAGTGGCAACACCAGATTAGTGGTGACTTAATAGTGGCAACACCAGATTAGTGGTGACGATATAGTGATACTACCAGATTAGTGGTGAGTAGATAGTGGCAACACCAGATCACTGATGACTAAATAGTGGCAACACCAGATTAGTGGTGACTAAATAGTGGCAACACCAGATTAGTGGTGACGATATAGTGATACTACCAGATTAGTGGTAACTAAATAGTGGCAACACCAGATTAGCGGTGACTAAATAGTGGCAACACCAGATTAGTGGTGACTAAATAGTGGCAACACTAGATTAGTGGTGACTAAATAGTGGCAACACCAGATTAGTGGTGACTTAATAGTGGCAACACCAGATTAGTGGTGACGATATAGTGATACTACCAGATTAGTGGTGAGTAGATAGTGGGAACACCAGATTACTGATGACTAAATAGTGGCAACACCAGATTAGTGGTGACTGAATAGTGGCAACACCAGATTAGTGGTGACTAAATAGTGGCAACACCAGATTAGTGGTGACGATATAGTGATACTACCAGATTAGTGGTAACTAAATAATGGCAACACCAGATTAGTGGTGACTAAATAGTGGCAACACCAGATTAGTGGTGACTAAATAGTGGCAACACCAGATTAGTGGTGACGATATAGTGGCAACACCAGATTAGTGATGACTAAATAGTGGCAACACCAGATTAGTGGTGATGATATAGTGATACTCTAGATTAGTGATGACTAGATAGTGGCAACACCAGATTAGTGGTGACGATATAGTGATACTACCAGATTAGTGGTGACTAAATAGTGGCAACACCAAATTAGTGGTGACTAAATAGTGGCAACACCAGATTAGTGGTGACGATATAGTGATACTACCAGATTAGTGGTGACTTAATAGTGGCAACACCAGATTTGTGGTGACGATATAGTGATACTACCAGATTAGTGGTGAGTAGATAGTGGGAACACCAGATTAGTGGTGACTAATTAGTGGCAACACCAGATTAGTGGTGAGTAGATAGTGGTTCCACCAGAATAAGGTGACTAGATAGTGGTACCTGCAGATTTAATGGTGTCTAGATAGTGTTAAACTGTCCTAATGATGCCGTGTCATTGACATCAATGTCAAACAATTTTCTGTGAAAGATGATCCACTATGTTACAACAATCTTAATTATTGTCCGAGAGACAGATAAAATAGAATGTGAAGTTTTTGAATTTCAAACAATGTTATAGACTGATAGACACGTATATGACTAAAAGATTTAACATCAGGCAGAGTTTATTTAAGTCTTTTCTCACAAATAACATCACAGGGACGGGACATCAGGCAGAGTGTATTTAAGTCTTCTCTCACTCATAACATCACAGGGACTGGACATCAGACAGAGCCTATTTAAGTCCTATCCCACACATAACATCGCAGGGACTGGACATCAGGCAGAGTGTATTTAAGTCTTTTCTTACACATAACATCGCAGGGACTGGACATCAGGCAGAGTGTATTTAAGTCCTATCCCACACATAACATCATAGGGACTGGACATCAGACAGAGCCTATTTAAGTCCTATCCCACACATAACATCGCAGGGACTGGACATCAGGCAGAGCCTATTTAAGTCCTATCCCACACATAACATCGCAGTAGTACAAGACTAAATACATTAACATACAACGTTGTCATTGGAAATTCCATTAAATCATGAGGCTTAAAAAGGCATTCTCAACATAACCTCCTTCATTGTTTATACATTTTTGCCACCAATGTTTAAGGGCCTCAATACCACTTTCAAAGAAGTCCTTTCCTCGACCGTTCAGAAAATCCTCCACTGCATATATGACGTCATCATCTGACGGAAAGTGAGTACAGGAAATGTCATTTTTCAATTATGGAAATATATGAAAATCTGATGGAGCGAGTGGCGAATAAGGCGGCTGCTCAATTAATGCAAAGCCAAAATCATTAATGACAGCCATGGCAATGACAGTCTTGTTAACAATGGCATTGTCCTGGTGGAACAACACACCTTCTCTGAGTTTTCTTTGGCGTTTGAGTTTCTCTTAATTGCTTAAGAAGTGATGCATGATATGTGCCATTGATAATTTGTCACTTTTGCAGATAACCTATCATCAGAATACTAGAAAACAGAAGCCATAAGCTTTCCAGCTGACGGAACAGTCTTTCCCTTCAATGGCAGTGGTGAACTAGGGTACTTCCAATGTTTAGACTGTTGTTTGGCTTCTGGGGTGAAATGATGGACCCACGTTCATCCAGTCACAAAACTCTGTAGAAAGATTAGCACGCAACAAAGTCCGCCTGATGTGCTTCTGATCGATTGTCAGAAGTCTTGATACCCAACGGGCTGAAAGTTTTCTCAGAGCAAGATCTTCCATAAGAATGGAGTGTACTCTTTCCTGTGAAATCTGGATATTAATCTCTCTGTAACTCGCCTTTCAGCCATAACAATATCATGGACTTTATTGACAATTTCCGGGGTTGCAACAGTGACGGGCCTCAACCCCAGTCTCTGTCTGCCACGCTAAAATTCCGCCACCCACATTTTTTCTGTGTCATATGAATACATTCCCTAGTGTTTCTACCATATCAGTATGGATATTCTAAGGTGCTAAACGTTTCTTATGCAAATATTGAATCACTACTCTTTCGACTATTTTGTCCATATTGCAAAAGTCACTTACCTTATTTACTTTAGAGTGCTACCTCTTCGACATAAACTAACCAAATGACACCAGTCTTCGGGTACACATCCCTGCAGAACTTCTTCAATACAAGGCTCACAACTTATCAACCAGCCCTCATAGAAACATGTTATGAATTTCCATTTTATATTTATCCATACTGTTCTTTGAAAATTCTAAATATGTTTGAACTATTAATACATTTTGATTTCCATCGGATGTGAAATTGACAGGTAGAAAGATAGGTACAAGTATCTGAAGGCACTTATTTTCTACCCTACTAGGAGGCCCAGATGTATTCACCAATCAGCTGTTCAAAGAACCGGTGATCAGACGGCCAATTCTCTTTGAATCGTACGTTAAAGATGTCCCGGATCTAGTTGTGACGACAATCTATCAATATGCTGTCTACCTTAGCGAGTTCCTGGAAGAAAACTCCAAGTGTACACAAGAACAACTGCAGACAGCTAAAGTACAGCAGGTTCACTAGAACAACAAAATAGCAAAAACACCAGATGAGATTGTCCTTCATTGCCTTTTATTTTCCCTTCTGAATATCCCCTGGAACTGGCAGGGTTGGGGAAAGTTCTGGGGCCAGGACCGAAGAACAATTAAGTGTCCTTGTACTCGTGGACTAGCAAACATTCGCTTTATATTGCACATAATAATGATGATGATTATGATGATGATAATTTGTCATGTAATGGTAGAAACATTCCAAAATCTAGACCAGAAATCCATCACAATAAATCGACAAGACTTTTCGATTCTACTACAATCTTATTTATGCCAAGGTAGAAAATAATCTGACGAAATCCTGTTGATTTATTACTATCCCGTACAATGCTTACACCAGTGCAAATATGCTTCACAAAGGTCATTAACGATGAAGGGGAGTAGTTTCTGTTCCAACTTTACTTGACAACTCAAAGAATCGTTACATAAAGGTCATTTGTCTGATGAAGGGGAGTAGTTTCTGTTCTAACTTTACTTAACAACTCAAAGAATCGTTTCATAAAGGTCATTTGTCTGATGAAGGGGAGTAATTTCTGTTTTAACTTGTCTTACCAACTCAAAGAATCACTTCACAAAGGTTATTTGTCTGATGAAGGTGAGTGCTGGTATTGCTTGTGATACAGAACTTCTCTTCTTACTTTACTTACAACCTATAAGAATATGTTTCACAATGTCCTGATCGTGGAGTTGAAAGGACCTTTACACCACGTAACGTTTCTATCGATTGGAAAGCAAATGTTTTCCATACTAACCCCCTTGACAGTACATTGGAAAGAATAAAGTCGTCAGTGCAGGCGCGTCGAAAGAGTAAACAAGGCATTGACATTTTTACATAATTTCTTTAAGACAGAAAATTGTCGAGGATGATGTTGTTTGCGGGAAATTAACGCCAGCAGCTGATTGAGTCTTGAGGGATGTGCTATCTGATATTCTAGAGAAAATGAATCAGGTCAGGCAAGAGGTCAAGACGAAGATCAGGGAGCCAAGCCACAGATATCCTCTCTCATGTAATATAAAGGATTTTGCGGAAGTCACAGAACCATCCTCCACATTCGGTTCTAGTAGTAGGCTGAAACTACAGACATTACAGACAAGCTGATTAGGGTTACAACACTTGTAATGGGTTGTGTTTGGTAGTATGACACTTGCATTGGGTTGTATTGGGTTAGTTGACTTTTGTATTCGTAGTATTGGGTTGCAGTGGGTAAATCAACACGGGGTTTCGTCGACATTTGACAGCATATATACTACTCATGTCTTTTTTGCCTTTTAAATTCTCATTAACGATATACAAACACATGGAATTAAAGTGACCGCATCATTTCGGAGCTGTTTGAAAATTGAAAAATAATTTACAACCTTAACCCTAACACGACAAAATGAGCCATTGGCTTTCACTAACTTGGACAATGTGGTTCACATGACTGGCGACCAACAATTGTAACATACAGTCAGGAAAATCAACCTAGAAGCGAGAATGCAAGACATGGAAACCGGATATTATAAGAAATTCGTCCTGAAGGAGGGGTGTCAATATTGGTCTGCGGCTGCTCGCTTATCAAGCTTCAATGCTCGCAGGAAGACACTTCACAGATGCATAGAGTATTCTCTATGGTTATTTTGGGGCAATTTTTCGAGATGGAAAAAGAAATATTACCAATAAAGTTCTTGTAAATTAAACAAGTTGTAGATGTGTTTCCTGATGAATAAGGATCATGTCTTACAAATCAAGTTAAAAAACAACAAATAAATTGGTCATAGTCATATAATTTATGAGGAGATTTCACATCAAATGCTTTCAAAGTTCCATTGACAGACACCTCTCGTGTGAGCAGTACTCCTTTCCGTTGGATCATGTTTTATCTTCTCTCCGTCTGATCTCTGGAGCACAGGTACCCGTAAGAGGCAGCAGAGAGAATTATGATATTTGTTTCCTGTTTGATAGGCTGTTTTAACCTGACTGTGATCAGATCCAGTGACTAAACCAATCATATATGTGCTACACAAGTAGTTATACCAGAGACGTATATATCACGTGATATATACGTCTCTGGTTATACTGACACAGCATTATGTATGTAACACGATAAAACTCGTATAACAGGAAGAAATCATTCATGCACTAGAAAGAAGTGCCCCCCTTAACTAGTAGTGTGTGGAATCCACCTAACATGTGATGTTTGGGGAATTCCACTAAATACCGTAAGTATTTAATCCCTTCGAACATCATTACGTTGTTAACATAACTTCCAAGAGGGTCTTTAATTGTATTGTATTGTTAATATTAGTACGAAGAAATATTTTCTTTCTAATTCGGCGAGTTTGCTTGGAGAGGTAAGTGCATGCATTAGCCGTACATTATATAATGTATACAGAAACTTACCTGAGCTCAGTCTGTATGATATGTACTTGTGACATGAAGCCTTATCTTGGTGGACTGACCGTGTTTTGTATGTAATATGCACGGTTAGTTTGATAAATACTCTTATGAAAAATTGAAATATGTGCATTAAGAACGACATCAGCTAACACAAAGAAACGTGGTTTGATGATACTATTTTGTGTCTGATTGTATATGAGTATAATATTCGTATTGTCCTTTTTAAGTATATATCTACATTATCACCATAACGAAGAGGTTGACATAATTGAAATATTTTCACAATATAAAAACAATCCTATTAAAGCTAACTAGGCATTAAATCATGTAACATATTACAGCACTTTTGTTGTTGACCACTGTTGCAGACTATGAACACGACACTCGATGGAAGTTCTAAGTATGGAAAATCCACATGTAAGTATCATACACAACAACATTAAGTAACGAACGTGATTGAACCCTTCTACATGTTAGTAACCTACCCACAACAACATTCTTGGTCATATATTGTAGTCTGATGTGTGTCTTAAGCAGTAAAATAATTGAGTTTAAATGAATTGATATATCGCTTTGATTTCCTTTACATTCTATTTACTCATGTGGACATTAAAGGACGGTTAATACATGTTTTGTACCAACTGTTTCAGCATTGTTTCTAGATTTATGGAACAGAATACACAGGAAATGTTATTTGAAAATTGAAAGAAAATCGTATTGTGCTGTATGTAGTAAGGTGTTTTTTAGTCGATTGTGATACACATCTTGTAAAATAATACCTATTCATTCTTTATATTGTTTATCAAATTGATATTATGTTTTAACAGATAAATACAATTAGTTTGGTGCTCGTGTGCATGATGGCATTGAACACGCACGTGCTTGGTCAAGGTAAGTCACCTTTTCATCTTATCCTGATACCGTGAAGTCAAATGGTGAAGTGAAACCATGCATGTCCGATTTTTTTCTCGGGCCTACCGTAAAAAGCGACATGGAATGACTAGAGGAGAAAAAACATGTTATATGTAATCATTAACCATATTAAAAAGCAAGTTTTACCAGTACATTTGTGTGACAAAACCAGGGATAGTTGAAATGTTTTGGAGTTGTATGAAAAATCGACAACTGATATGTCCGATGAGTCCTTTTTTAATTTCGAGCATGTTGTGCGTAGGTCCAAAGTGAAAAGAGATGACCAGAAATGCATTAGTTTACTCTAATTTATATCATCTTCGAAATCCAAAGTTGACAACCACTCTTGAAGATATCTATGCGACGTTATGAATTTTTCATACAGTTTTGCGATCTCAGACAAATTCTTCAACAAACACAAAAGTGAATAGATATCTTTTACTCTTCCAAGCACTGAAGTCGATAAAAGTGTCACCATTTTGTTTTCAACTGTGTCATGACATAATCCATGAATGAAGAAATGAGTGAAAAAATTGAACAAATAAACTTTACACTCTTGCAGCAGAGAACTTGAGTTTATATTGAAATATGAGGATTGCACATAAAACACAAGTGAAAAGTACGCTTTAATACAAATTGATAATTAGACAAAGTATAGTCAAACCAGAATCACGCAGCAGGCTTCACTGTCCTTCTAGGATTCGTCAACGCTTCTACAGGCCTATATCATTGAGGGCAATAGGGGGAAAATCAAATCCTGGAAAAAACTATATATAAGTTATTGTATAGAGAATTCCTAATGAGTTTCCTTGTGTCGTTCTTCGTGTGATAAACTAATACGACAGTAGTAAGCCAATAGGACACAATGACATTACGTTAAAGCCGTTTTTCAGTTAGAGTATTCTTTTGTTACAGACAATAACTGGCCCGTTCACGAGTTCAGAGGAGCATGGATAGCAACCGTAGCTAATATTGACTGGCCTTCAACGTCTCATCTTTCAACAAGTCAGCAAAAACAGGAACTCGTAACAATGTTTGACAAATTGCAAGAATTGAACTTTAATGCTGTCATTTTGCAGATACGAACATCGGGTGATGCACTATACAGTTCTCAGTTAGAACCATGGAGTGCATATCTTACTGGCAAGCAGGGTGTGCCTCCAAGTCCTCTGTATGATCCGCTTGCATTCGCTATTGCCGAAGCCCACGATAGAAATATGCAGTTACATGCATGGTTTAATCCTTACAGAGCACGTGCCGGAAGTACCAAAAAGACAGATTTGGCGCCAAATCATATATCCCATCGTTTCAGCAGTGCATGCCATGTTTATGGAAAAGACCTGTGGATGGATCCCGGCGACCCTGACGTACAGAACTTTACATTCAATATATTCATGGACGTTTTAGAACGTTACGATGTGGATGGCATACATATGGACGACTACTTTTATCCATATCCCGTTGGAGGCCAAGACTTCCCAGACGTCGAGACATATCGTCTTCACGGGGGGAATATGTCACTTGCCGATTGGAGAAGAGATAATATCAACAAGCTTGTTAGAAACATCTCGACAGGTATCAAATCTAGAAAACCATTTGTCGCGTTTGGGATTAGCCCTTTCGGAATTTGGAAACCAGGCCACCCCAATCATGTAGTGGGTTTAAACGCATATGAAGAAATTTATGCAGATTCGCGAAAATGGCTAGAAAACGGTTGGGTTGATTATTTTACTCCACAGCTGTACTGGCGGATAGATCCTCCAGCTCAGAGCTACACAGCCCTCCTGGATTGGTGGACTCAGCAGAACCCACAACAAAGACATATTTATACCGGCAATTACGCTGCAGCCATTGTGGTTAAGTCGTGGCCTATTACTGAGATAGAAAGACAAGTCATAGAATCTCGGGATCGAAAATCAAAGCTTAGCCTTGGCAATATATTTTTCAGTGCAAAATATTTCATACGAAATACAGATGGGATAAGCGACATGTTTAAATTACACATATACAATTCCCCTGCCATTGTGCCGGAAATGGCGTGGCTAAATAAAACTTGGACACTGCCAACACCAAGGAATGTTTTGGTGAATGGAACGTCTATCACGTGGAAGGCGGACAGTTCTCCAGCAATTCGATCCTGGGCCGTATATAAGGCATACGCGGACGGTTGGCTTCTGGTAAAGTTGTTAAGTAGGCACTCTAATTCAGCAGAACGCTTGGAGAAAGGGACATATGCCTTGCGTACTGTAGATAGACTGGGTGGGCAAAGTACGGCGGTTAAAATCATCATAGGGGAAGCGGTTGTGGTAGGATAAACATCGATATTCGTAATAAAACAGTTAGATGCTGTACTATTGTTATTTCTGTATAAATCTGCTTTGGCAACTGCCTGGACACATTCCAACGGTGGTACCGTTTGTACTGTGAACATATTAACTATTCCTTTGACAGTACGTTTCTAATAACGTATCATGAGTGGGCACACTACAGCTTGAAGTAAACTTTTGATTTATTTATGTGTGACCAATTATTGAAAATTTTGTGTAACTTTGTTTGATAAACTAAGTTGAATTAATAAAAGAATTAAACTGGAAAAGGACATGTGCAAATAACTTTCATTTTTGTGTTACATTTAGAACCGGAAATCTACACTTGACTTCATTCTTTGTTACACTTACTTAGCTCTGTTGAAATATGCCATTTGAACTGTCTAGGTCGTCGTGGAGTTTTAACAACATTGCGCTTCAGTGGAAGATGGTTCATTTATACGAATCATAAATGTCATAACATGACTTATGAGATTGTATTTACATTCTTTGCGTATGTTGCTATCTGATGCCGTTAGAAATTGTATGGATGTATTAAATGGACTTTTATAACAGCAATGGTTAGTAAACGCGATCTACGTTTCCCATAGTGCCATGCAAATATCAATATTGCATGTCACCTCGATATTATTCTTAAGTTTTTTTGTAGCACTTATTCAAGCTTGGGTGATTTCACTTCCATGTTTGCTTATTATGTGTAGGAAATCACAAGTTTGTTTACTTTAATGAAAAATTAACATTCTTCAGGGAGAAATGAAGACGATTTAATCCATCAAATATAAATATATTAAATTTAAATAATAAGTTCCCCATCAAAGAAAAATAATTAAATGGTATTTATGATTTCTTACGAGGAACAACATCTTATGAAGTATATATACATCTAATGAAGTATATACTACATCTAATGAAGTATATATCACATCTTCATGAAGTATATATCTTATCATTAGTATATATATCTTATGGTGTATATATCACATCTAATGAAGTATATACTATATCTAATGAAGTTATATATGATATCTTCATTGATGTATATATACATCTAATAAAGCATATATATCTAATGGTGTATATATCACATCTAATAAAGTATATATCACATCTAATGAAGTATATATCACATCTTATGAAGTATATACTACATCTTATGAAGTATATATACATCTTATGAAGTATATACTACATCTTATGAAGTATATATCACGTCTTATGAAGTATATACTACATCTTATGAAGTATATATCACATCTAATGAAGTATATATCACATCTAATGAAGTATATATCACATCTTATGAAGTATATACTACATCTTATGAAGTACATATCACATATAATGAAGTATATATCACATCTTATGAAGTATATATCACATCTTATGAAGTATACACTACATTTTATGAAGTTCATATATTACATATACTCACGGGATAAAGATACGCAGGGTAGAAGTTGATTCTAGGCATAATGTATAAAGTATTTGTAACTGAGTAATTGAAGGGAATTGAAAGAGAACTCTGTAATCTGAAATCGAAATTGACTTATTTTGGGAGCTGGCTCGTCAATACCGGGCATGTTCCCCGTTCGCTATCTGCACAGCCCTGATTCTCTTATGCATTGAGTTCATGAGAGAGTTTATCCTCCTCATTGGGATGTTAAACCATTCTTTCAAGAGAGGGCTGCTCTCAGTTGGGCCAGAGTAACAGAGAGACTGGCGTCGTTGAACCTGTCTATCCAGCTGGTCCCACATGTGCTTGACAGGGGGATAGGTCGGGGCGGTATGGCGGCCAGTTCAGTGGTTGGTTATTGTTGATAGTGAGAACGTTGTGACGTCACTCGCGAACGCCCAGACCTTGGTCTGTTAGCAACCCGCCCAGTTTCCATTAGACGTCTAACAAGATGTTCTATAGTGTAAATATGGACACTGAAATGTCTGGCAACCTGTATTTGCCTTTGACCTTGCATAATCATAGCAATGGCCAGACCCCTGTGAACTTCCGTCAGCCGTGCCATTGTTTCAGTCTTTCAGCTGATCAACTGTCATAGAAACAGCAGAACAACAACAATGACAGTCTGTCTGTTGATAATCTATTATAGAAACAACGGAACAACGACAATGACAGTCTGTTGATAATCTGTTATAGAAACAACGGAATAACGACAATGACAGTCTGTCTGTTGATAATCTATTATAGAAACAGCAGAACAACGACAATGACAGTCTGTCTGTTGATGATCTATCATAGAAACAGCGGAACAACGACAATGACAGTCTGTTGATAATCTGTTATAGAAACAACGGAATAACGACAATGACAGTCTGTCTGTTGATAATCTATTATAGAAACAGCGGAACAACGACAATGACAGTCTGTTGATAATCTGTTATAGAAACAACGGAATAACGACAATGACAGTCTGTCTGTTGATGATCTATCATAGAAACAGCGGAACAACGACAATGACAGTCTGTTGATAATCTGTCATAGAAACAACAGAACAACGACAATGACAGTCTGTCTGTTGATAATCTATTATAGAAACATAGGGACAACGACAATGACAGTCTGTCTGTTGATGATCTATCATAGAAACAGCGGAACAACGACAATGACAGTCTGTTGATAATCTGTTATAGAAACAACGGAACAACGACAATGACAGTCTGTTGATAATCTATTATAGAAACAACGGAACAACAACAATGACAGTCTGTTGATAATCTGTTATAGAAACAACGGAACAACAACAATGACAGTCTGTCTGTTGATAATCTATTATAGAAACAGCGGAACAACGACAATGACAGTCTGTTGATAATCTGTTATAGAAACAGCGGAACAACGACGATGACAGTCTGTTGATGATCTATCATAGAAACAGCGGAACAACGACAATGACAGTCTGTCTGTTGATAATCTATTATAGAAACAACGGAACAACAACAATGACAGTCTGTCTGTTGATGATCTATTATAGAAACAGCAGAACAACGACAATGACAGTCTGTCTGTTGATGATCTATTATAGAAACAGCAGAACAACAACAATGACAGTCTGTTGATAATCTATCATAGAAACAGCGGAACAACGACAATGACAGTCTGTCTGTTGATAATCTATTATAGAAACAACGGAACAACGACAATGACAGTCTGTCTGTTGATGATCTATTATAGAAACAGCAGAACAACAACAATGACAGTCTGTTGATAATCTATCATAGAAACAGCGGAACAACGACAATGACAGTCTGTCTGTTGATAATCTATTATAGAAACAGCAGAACAACAACAATGACAGTCTGTTGATAATCTATCATAGAAACAGCGGAACAACAACAATGACAGTCTGTCTGTTGATGATCTATCATAGAAACAGCGGAACAACGACAATGACAGTCTGTTGATAATCTGTTATAGAAACAGCAGAACAACGACAATGACAGTCTGTCTGTTGATGATCTATCATAGAAACAGCGGAACAACGACAATGACAGTCTGTTGATAATCTGTTATAGAAACAGCAGAACAACGACAATGACAGTCTGTCTGTTGATGATCTATCATAGAAACAGCGGAACAACGACAATGACAGTCTGTTGATAATCTGTTATAGAAACAGCAGAACAACGACAATGACAGTCTGTCTGTTGATGATCTATCATAGAAACAGCGGAACAACGACAATGACAGTCTGTTGATAATCTGTTATAGAAACAGCAGAACAACGACAATGACAGTCTGTCTGTTGATGATCTATCATAGAAACAGCGGAACAACGACAATGACAGTCTGTCTGTTGATGATCTATCATAGAAACAGCGGAACAACGACAATGACAGTCTGTTGATAATCTGTTATAGAAACAGCAGAACAACGACAATGACAGTCTGTTGATAATCTGTTATAGAAACAGCAGAACAACGACAATGACAGTCTGTCTGTTGATGATCTATCATAGAAACAGCGGAATAACGACAATGACAGTCTGTTGATAATCTGTTATAGAAACAGCAGAACAACGACGATGACAGTCTGTTGATAATCTATTATAGAAACAGCGGAACAACGACAATGACAGTCTGTCTTTTGATAATCTATTATAGAAACAACGGAACAACGACAATGACAGTCTGTCTGTTGATAATCTATTATAGAAACAACGGAACAACAACAATGACAGTCTGTTGATAATCTATTATAGAAACAACGGAACAACGACAATGACAGTCTGTCTGTTGATGATCTATCATAGAAACAGCGGAACAACGACAATGACAGTCTGTTGATAATCTGTCATAGAAACAGCAGAACAACAACAATGACAGTCTGTTGATAATCTGTTATAGAAACAGCAGAACAACGACGATGACAGTCTGTTGATAATCTATTATAGAAACAGCGGAATAACGACAATGACAGTCTGTTGATAATCTGTTATAGAAACAGCAGAACAACGACGATGACAGTCTGTTGATAATCTATTATAGAAACAGCGGAACAACGACAATGACAGTCTGTCTGTTGATAATCTATTATAGAAACAACGGAACAACGACAATGACAGTCTGTCTGTTGATAATCTATTATAGAAACAACGGAACAACAACAATGACAGTCTGTCTGTTGATGATCTATCATAGAAACAGCGGAACAACGACAATGACAGTCTGTTGATAATCTGTTATAGAAACAGCAGAACAACGACAATGACAGTCTGTTGATAATCTGTCATAGAAACAGCAGAACAACGACAATGACAGTCTGTCTGTTGATAATCTATTATAGAAACAACGGAACAACAACAATGACAGTCTGTCTGTTGATGATCTATCATAGAAACAGCGGAACAACGACAATGACAGTCTGTTGATAATCTGTTATAGAAACAGCAGAACAACGACGATGACAGTCTGTCTGTTGATAATCTATTATAGAAACAACGGAACAACAACAATGACAGTCTGTCTGTTGATGATCTATCATAGAAACAGCGGAACAACGACAATGACAGTCTGTTGATAATCTGTTATAGAAACAGCAGAACAACGACAATGACAGTCTGTTGATAATCTGTCATAGAAACAGCAGAACAACGACAATGACAGTCTGTTGATAATCTATTATAGAAACAGCAGAACAACGACAATGACAGTCTGTTGATAATCTGTCATAGAAACAGCGGAACAACGACAATGACAGTCTGTTGATAATCTGTTATAGAAACAGCAGAACAACGACAATGACAGTCTGTCTGTTGAT